CATGTGAGGCTGCAGGTGCAGGAGTTCCTGCTAGGAGCTGCAGCCCATTTGCTCAGATATTTGGGGATTTTTCTCAGGAATGTGTCAATATTCATCCCTCCTCTTTGCTCCTTTGGATTTGCTTCCAGAGTCTGTGGATTAAAGCAGCACTGAGAGTTTTTATTCTCTGGGAAGCACCATCCCTGTGAGACACCACATGATGTGATGATTTGAGCTCTTCTTGGGGGGTGCCTGGCTGCTGTGGCCACTGGAAATCTCCCATCTTCCTTCAGCCCTCCAAAGAATGTCTTTTTGGAAGCTGGTCCAGCCCTGATCTCTGCCAGAATACAAGGGAAAGCTGCTGGCAGGCTCAGGGGTTRCAGGGGGTGTTGGCTGCCCAGCACAGCCCTGAATTCCTTCAGGGATCATGCCTAAAACAAGCACAGTGCAGATTTTGTCCTGCTGAATTCATCTGCTGTGTGCTAGAGCATCCACAGGGATAAAGAGGAGAGGCCTAGRGCTTCCTTTTCCTTTTCCTCCAACCTGCTGAGCAGGGAATTCACAGTGGGGGAATCCTTCACCTCCCTGGGGAACTTCCACCGCAGGGCTGCCAAGCCTTTGTGTGTGAATGGCAATTTGGAGTTGTCACTGCTGAGCTGATTTCTCTGCAGGAAAGTGAGGAAGCTCCTCCTGTGCTGTGAGGAGCCTCCCTGGCATCAGTGGGGCACCCTCCTGGGCAGGGGCTGTGTTGGGTTTGGAAGGTGGGAGGCCCTCGAGTGTGCAGAGATCTGGGGTGCAGGAGGTGCGGGGATGCTGCAAGGATTCTGCTTGTGTTGTTGAGGTTCCAGGTGATCCCCCCCACTCCTCCCCATCTGCTCCTTGTTTTCCAGGAGAAATCCCCTGCTCTGTGCCTTGCCCCTGGCACTGGGGTGCCCAGAGCCCGCTGGCACATCCCAGCCCCAGCTGTGCTCAGCTCCAGCCAGCCTGGCTGCCTTCAAGCSCTTAAACCTCTCACTTTCCACCAGGATTTAAATCAGCCACTTAAACTRCATCATCCTCTTTCACTCCTTAATGCTCTGGGTTCCAGCTGCTCAGGCTCCGAGGAGGGTTTGGAACCAGCCACAAACACACACAGGAAGCAAAACCTTTATTTGATGTGTTTTTTTGCTGGCCAAAAGCAGGGCTGGAGCTTCTGTCTCGTGATTGAGCTTGGTGGTGTGTCAGTGGGAGTGGAGTGGGAGCTGCTGCTGCCCCAGGTTTCAGCTCAACCCTCAAATCTGTGATGTGAGAACTGCTTCCATTTTCTGGATGAATTAAAAGCAGTTTGAGCCACAGTGATGGTGATTTTCCCAGCTGCTCTGATGAGGTTCTGGATTCAGCCTGCTCATCAAAATGAAGAAATGGAGAAAACTATCCCAGGGTGCTCCAAGCCCCAATGTCCAGCCTGGCCTTGGGCACTGCCAGGGATCCAGGGGCAGCCACAGCTTCTCTGGGCACCCTCTGGGCACGCCAGGGCCTCCCCACCCTCCCAGAGAACAATTCCTTCCCAATATCCCATCCATCCCTGCCCTCTGGCAGTGTAAAGCCATTCCCTGTGTCCTGTCCCTCCGTCCCTTGTCTCCAGTCCCTCTCCAGCTCTCCTGGAGCCTTCTCCTCTCCAGGTGAGCACCCCCAGCTCTCCCAGCCTGGCTCCGGAGCAGGGGGGCTCCAGCTCCATCACTGAGCATTGTTGGGTGAGAAAAGGAGTCCAGGGGTTGTGGGGACAGGGTGGGCACACAAATATTTGTGTTTTCTRTGTAGTGGGTGCTTCTGCTTGTCAGCAGCCACTCCCACTCTGAGCTCTCAGCTGTTCACAGCAGTTTTAAGGCACGTTTGGATCATCACTGGCACTGCCAGGGCCTCCAGCCTCTTCACTATGTGGCTCCTGCTGTTTGCATCCATAATGTCCAGGCTGGAAAGTTTGCAGGACCTTTCTCCCTCGTTTCCCYCTGCCCACAGCCCAATCTAAAAGCATAAGTGGCTGTTTTGCATAAAGCAAGCACTTCCCTGGCTGCCCTGTCTCTCCTGCCCGAGCACTGGGGTGGGTGAGGTGCCTTACTGGGATTGGCACRAGGGTGTGAAGCCCTCTGAGAAGCTGAAAAGGACAGAAACTGTAATTTAGAGTATGTCAGGCCAGTCCCTTCCGGGCTTATCGAGACTGATGACATGGCACTTGCCTTTCTGTTATCTCTGTACACAGATAACAAATTAAGTGACAGCTTTTGAGCTCCCTGCAGATGCAGATGCGTTCACTGGAACCGACACATTCCTACGAGTTATTTTCATTTGTCAAAAATCCCTTTGTTTGACATACAAGAAACCTGAGTCACCCAAGGTGSTGAGTGCCATGTGAGTTCAGGAGGTCTGTCTGCTGAAAAAACTGCTCCAGAAAACTGGAGAAGGTKCTTGTGTCATCTTCTGCCATTCCCAGGATCTCGGGTTAGCTYGGAAAAGAGTTCTGGGGTCATCGAGTCCAACCTGGGACCCATCCCCACCTTGTCACCAGCCCAGAGCATTGAGTGGCACCTCCCASTGAGGGACATCCCCASGGATGGGGACTCCAGCACCTTCCTGGGCAGCCCCTTGCAGTGCCTGACCACYCTTTCTKGGAAAAAATCCTTCCTGATGTCCCACTGGAGTCAGCTGGCAGGTGGGCAGGGCTGTGCCGTGGGGGTTTGGGTTTCCTCTCGTGGCAGCCCCACAGAGGCACAGCCTGGAGTTCAGGGACAGGACCCAGGGAACARCTSGAGCWGGRCCWGGGCAGGGYCAGGCTGGAGATCAGGGAAAGGTTCTTCTGTCCCCAGAGGGTGCTGGCACTGCCCAGGCTCCCCAGGGAATGGTCCCGGCCCCGAGGCTGCCACAGCTCCAGGAGCGTTTGGACAGCGCTTCCAGGGATGCACAGGGTGGGATTGTTGGGGGGTCTGTGCAGGGCCAGGGGTTGAACTGGGTGATCCTTGTGGGTCCCTTCCCACTCAGGACATTCTGTGATTCTGTGGATTTACGGTCTCAGCCCCATGGGTTCCTCCATCCCAGTGCAATTTTTGCTGCTCTTGTAGGGCTGTGGGATGCCCAAAGCCCATGGACACGTTGGTGAACAGCTCTGAGTGTGCTGCAGTGTGATTCTGCTGTAAAACACATTGCTGGCTTTCARAAAACCAAGAACAACTCCAGTCATCCCCCCATGCTGCTGCAGAGTGAGCGGAGCAGTGCTGAGCTCCACGCCTGGGCTGGGGATTATTGAATCTCCTTTCAGCTGTCAGGACTCCTTCCCTGCGAGGAGAGGTTTGGTGATTCACCAGCTCCTTCCCCACCGACAAACCTAAACCCCAAAGGGTTCCTTTGTGCACATGAGAGCTGCCAAATGCAGCCCTGGAGATGCCCTCCTGTGCATCAGGAGGAGGAGGAGGAGGAGGATGTGTGTGGCAGGGTGAGGGCTGCGCTTTGGGCAGCTCTGGGCTATGGAGCTCATTGTGCAATTCCTCTCTCACCTCGCCAGCTTCCTCCTGGGATTGCTCCYCAGCTGAAGGATGGGGCTCAAAAATAGACAAAAATGCCTCAAAAGCTCTTAAATGAGGGRTAAATGTCTGGTTGAGTTTGAGGAGCATCTGSTRTAAASGGTTTTCTGCTCATGGCAGCCTGAAAACAAAAAACCAAATGTGCCTTTTTGGGATATTTTGGACCCAGTGGYTTGCCCTTTGCCTGTTCTTTTTGAAGATCCCAGATCACCCTCAGCAGGTCTGAGTGCCCCTTGTTCCAGGTGTGTTCCTGCTCCACAAGCCCCATCCCAATCCTYCCCCTCAGGCATTGTCTAATTGGGAAAACGTTTCAGTTCTGTGGCCTCAATTTGTAACGTGGACAAGTTCATTATCACTGAATCCCTTAATTGGGCCCTCCTAGCGGGCAGCCTATTCCTGAGTTTCCCAATTAAGCCAGGACCTCTTTAAAACCCATAAAAATAAACAAATCCCTGGCAGAGCAGGCCCACATTACCAGAGTCACCACTCAAAATGATGCTTCAGGGCTGAGCATCACCCAGGCACTAATTAACCCTTTTGTGCTGATTGTTTGTGTTCCCTTCAAGGAGAACAGCAMCAATTTGGGGTCAGTTTAAGGGACTCATAGTCATGAGCTCAAATCTTTCTTATAAAGAGGAAAAAGTTGGTTATGAGGTGTYGGAAGGTGGAAGATGCTGTCTCCTGCAAGGATTCCATGGGTAACTCTGCTTTTTTTGGTTGCAGGTCAAGGACCTAACAAAATACCTGGATCCCAGTGGCTTGGGAGTCATCAGCTTCGAAGATTTCCATCGGGGGATCAGAGCCATCAAAAATGGAGGTGGGTGAGCTTCCCACTGTGCTGAGACTGAGGATGGGAACAGTTTAACACCTCAGCTGAGCTGAGGAGCTGCTTGGGGAAAACCATCTGGGTTTGGTTTTCTGGGAGTTACTGCTCTGTGTTGGGTGGRRRAAATGGGGAAAGGTTGAGGGCATTTATTGAGAGTTGGAAAAKGTGGTTCAACAGTAGCAGTGGTGCTTCCATGTTTTGTTGTTTATCAGGGAATTCCCTTCCTTAAAAAAGAATTTGATGGGAAATCCCTTCCGGTTTAGTGTTTGCTCTCACCCTGCTCTCACCTGTGTTTTGRTGTGTTTGGTGTCTGCTTTCAGCTGTGTTTTTTGTGATTTTTGGGGGGTTGTTACTCTGATGGAGGTGTTTGTGCTGCTGGCTGTGACATTTCCACACACTGGGCACTGAGTGTGGAATATGGAACTGGTTGGGCTGGAAGGGACATTAATCTTGTTCCACACCCTCCCAGGGGCAGGCACACCTTCCCCTAGAAGAGAAATTTATTGATGAATTTACTAATAATGACTCCAACTATTTGGAGGATCAAGGTGTTCTGATGGTTTTTATCTGGGATCACATGAAACCAGGTTCTCAACTGCCTGCCTGGAGTCAGGATGATCTTCAAACTGACCAGTGCCAATCCCCACATGGCTCCCAGGGGCTTCTTGCCAGTGAAATGTCGGTGAAATGGGAAATGTTTTTCTGGCTGGTGGGCATTTGGACTCCTTTGCTGCAGGAAAGGTGTTGTTCTTCCAGTCTGGGATCCTTCTCAGAGAGTCATTTTGGGCCAGGAGTGTTGTTCTGGGCRGGGTGTGAGGTATCTGGGAAGCTCCCTGCTGAGCAGTTGGAGTTCTGGGTGTGCAAATGGGAATTGCCAGTCTTGCATGAGAGACAGCTCTGCTCAGAGATGCTTCTCTGGGATTTCAGCCCTGCTCACTGTGCCCCTGCTGCCAGCCCTGCACAAGGAGTGTGCTGCARGGATGGGAAAGAACCAGAATTCCCATACAAACTGTGCTGTTCCASGAGTAAAACTCCCAAAGCCAGGTTTTCTCCTGTTTTTCTGTCAGTTGTCCATCTCTCCTCCTCCTCCCCAGTTCTACCCCCACTTTGTTGATGGATTTACTGGGAGGGTGGGGAGGCCCTGGCACAGGGTGCCCAGAGAAGCTGTGGCTGCCCCTGGATCCCTGGCAGTGTCCAAGGCCAGGCTGGACAGGGCTTGGAGCAGCCTGGGACAGTGGAAGGTGTCGGGGTTGGAAGGGGATGAGCTTTGAGCTCCCTTCCCTCCCAAACCATTCCAGAATTTTCTGTGCTGGGACTGTAGTGTTTTATCTCCCAAGTTTCCTGGTGTAGCCTGGCCTTTCCCAGCTCTCAGGAAGCAGCAGGAGCTGCAGCACACAATTAATTTGTAATAAATTGCCATTGGAGCCGAGCGTTTGTGAAAACCCTGGCTCGTGTTTCCCCTCAATAATTCATCGCTTTGGTATTGTGTTCTATTCACTGAATGGGAAGAGCAGACCATGCAAAGCTTTTAGGGTCTCAATTTATTAAATTTGAAGGAGACTGATGTGTGTTTATTGCAGTGTTGGGAAAGGCTGAGCTCTCCAACAGCCCATGGCATTAAATGGAAATAAAGGAAGCCCAGGGCAGGGCACGGAGGAGGCTCTGTGAGTCCAACAGCCGAGCACTGCCCACAGTGAGGTGTTCTGAAGGATTTGCTGCTGCTCTTGAACCAGTCAATACTGATCATCCCTTTGTAACCAAAGCAGAGGTCAGGCTGCTGCTGGGTGTCTGTCTTAACGAGGTTTGGTAATTAGCTGGGGCTGTTTTTAGCCAGGGAGTGCCCTGCTGGATTTCTTGGTGCTCTGTGGTTCTTAGGTCAGTCAGGGAAGTGAGAGTTGCTGCCAGCTCTGAGCATGTGGTGTCTGTTAATTCTGGGGAGGGTTTATTCCTGAGGATGTGCCAGTCTCCTCTCCCTCTCTCCTCTCTGGACAATTCCTTCAGGACAGCAGGGATTTCACTCAAGCCCGACAAACTGAAGGTGCAGTTACAGATCCAGCCAAATTTGCGTTGTCAGCTGCACTTCCCACAGCTGCTTTTATGTCCACTTGGCCTTTACATCCAGGGAGGATGCTGGGCTCCTGGTCCTGTCCCCGTGCTCCTGGTCTTGTCCCTGAGCTCCTCAGTCCTGTCCCTGTGCCAGCAGCCTGAGCCATGTCCTCCCTGCCTGAGGAACAGACTGGTGCAGGACTCCTGGTGCCTGCTGGGCCTCCTCCCACTGCCATGGACCAGCTGTGGGCTCTGTGCTGCTGGGATCTCTGTCTGGCCAGGTAATGCTGATTGTGAGGGAGGCAGACGGATTGGAGGCTTTTAGGAGAGTTTTTAGCTAGTTGTGGCTGCCTTATCTTCTACCCTCCCCAGAGTGCAGGCTGGTTGGGAAAGCGTGGTTCTCATGGATGTATTTGTGCCTGGAATTGGGATGGCCAGGGAGTGTTCCAGAGGGTTTCCCTGCTGTGGGAAGTGGTGAGTCTGAAGCCTTGGGGTGGCTGAGCTCTGTTCTCAGGCCTGGGGACCATGCAGACAGARATGCTGCTGGGACAGGTTCAGCTCCTTGTGCTGTGCTGGGTCCCAGCCCTTGCTGCTTGTGGCTGCTGGGATTCCCTGGTCCTTCCCAGCCCCACGAGTTGGGGTTTGCCTGCTTTTAAAATTTGTGTGAAGGGTGCCTGAGTGACTGGCAAGTCTGCAAAACAGAGGGGGAAACGTGGATCCAACACTGGCAGTGTGTCGGGGGGGATATATAATGCTGGAAAGTGGAATTTTACAGCCTTGGATTGTAAAACTTGAGAAACTGATAATGGAGGGCAGGCAGTAATGAGGGAGAGTGTGATGCTTAAGAGAGGCAGASAAGGTGTTTTTTGAGGCCTGGAGATTTCAGCCAGAGGAAAACCTGGTGCATCTGGCTGCCATCACTGAGATCCAAGGGAAGAGGAACAGGGAAGGAGCCAGTGTGGCTGCTGCACTCACTGTATTTGGGAGCTCCAGCTCAGGGGGTTCTCCCCAGGGACAGACAGGCACCAGGATTGTGTGCCAGCCCCTTGGAAACACAGCCAGGGAGTGAGGATCCTGTGTGTATGGCAAAAGGCTGACCTGGGATGGGGACAGGGAGATGGGGTCTGTATTCTGAGTCTGTCGGAATCCAAGGTGCCTGGAGCAGGGAGCAGCCAGAGGGGGAATTTGGTGGTGGATACCAGGGTGAGCTGGATCAGCCACCTCTGGGTGCAGACACACGGCCAGGGCTGGATCAGCCATGGCTGGGTGCAGACACGTGGCCAGGCTGGGTGCAGACACAGCCACCCCTGGGTGCAGACACATGGCCAGGGCTGTGCTCATGGACAGATTTCTTCCCTTGCCGAGGTATTGAAAACCTTTTCAATGTCACCCACCTGATGTTTGTGCAGGGCTCTCTCAGCACTCAGCAGGACAAAGTGAGCAGCTCTGCTCTCACTGCAGCTCACGGGGATGAGGAACAGGTTGTGCCATTCAYACACATGAAACATCTGTAACATCTGTTTTCCGGGGAGCAGCCCCTTTGGGAAGGGGAGCACACAGGGGGTTTCTGTGGTGTCAGTCTGAGGGACTGCTGTGTCAGGCAGGGCAAGGTGCATTCCTGAGCTCCAGCCTCATCCCTCCCTTTGGCCTTAGCTTCAGATCCCTGAACAAAGGGGCCCCTATGCACCGAGAGCAGACAGTGCATCYACTGAGGGAGGGACGTGTCCAGGAGCTCAGGGAGGGTCTGAGGATGGAAATAATCACATTGCTTTTTTTAATTTATTTTTTKAATGCTTCTACTAAAAGCCCTTTGGATTTGGGAAGATGGAAAATCCAGCTCAAGAGCCAACACCCAAACCTGGAAGCTCTAACAGAGTTCCTGTTTGCAGGGTTGACAGGAGCGGGGCTGGGAGACCCCTGGCAGTGCCAGCTTGGGAAGAGCTGGATCAGGAATCCACTGTTCCAAAGGAAAGAGATTCCAGGGGCTGAAGAAGAGGCTTGGAGCAGGACGAGCATGTTCCRCTCCCCAGAGGCTCTTCTAAAGGGYGGCTGCAGGGAAAAGCATGGAGCTGGGAGCTGGAGAAGGCAGGGCAGGATTCTGAGCAGCAAATCCAGGGCCGGGGGGGTCAGGCCGTGGTTTTGCCTGGAGTCTGTGTGGGAGCACTGCACCATTCCTAATGGGGTCTGACAGCAGCGGGAATTCCTGCTGGGATGAGCCTTTGTGGGRCTGTGGCTCTGAGATCCTGGGATTGTCCCTGGGAGGATCTCAGGGGACATTCCCACGGTTTCAGAACCGTGTTTGCAGAGAGGTTGGGGAGCTCCTGGCAGCTGAGTGTCCGTTTGAGAATTTCCTGAGCAGAGAGCACAGCTCCAGCTGCTCTTGGAAGGAAGGATGGGAGTGCTGCGTCTGAAAGGGTTACAGCCAGGGGAGGGAACTGCACATCGGCTCCTTAAACAGATCGCAGGAACGATCCCACCTGCAGGCTGTGCTTCACATTCCCTGATCCTGCGCTTGGAGGTGCCTCTGGATCTGGCAGTGCTCAGGTGTCACCTCTGAGCCTGCCATGCCCAGGAGCCACTTGGAGCCACCACTGGACAGCACGTGGTGGCTCGGAATGGATCCGGGAGAGCCGGGCTGGCCACCCCAGTGCCCTGGATCCTGCTGGCTCCGTGGGGCATTCCGAGGTGTTGGATATCCGGGAACATAACCCCGGGTTGCTTTGTGAGGAGGCTTTTCCCCCCTTCTGTAGGATCTGCATTGCAGATGGCTTTTGCTGCGCAAAAGGAAAGCTTCCCWTGCCCAGGATAATTCCAGAAGCCACGCTCGCATTCCCTCACACTCCCATCCCATGGTTATTTCGGGGGCTGTTCGTGCATCCTCCTTGCTCTCGGTCCTGCCTGGGAGCTGGGAATGGGGGGTGTTTGCAGCAGGCCACCTGAGCACA